GAAAAATTTTTCAGGTGCACCAATGGGAAGCCTCTCTTGTATATTTGGACCAATATTTCAAAAACAATGGTTTGGTGTTTTATTTTATTTTATTTTTTTAGCTCATGCGTATTGTGAGGGAATGGAAAAAACTCTACGGAGAAGACAGATGTAAGGGCCTCACTTCCGAGTCTGCTTTATTCGTGTGCAACAAGTGGGACGACGTGGAAAGGCTAACAAAGACCAGTCCGTCAGACAAAGAAAAAATTAAAAATGAAATCATCTGCAAACTTAAGAAGGAAATCCCTAACCTAAATGAGAAATCCCAGGTAATTGAAATGTCAGTCTTCACTGCGGCCCAAATCCAGCAGAGGTTCGATGTGATGAGTGATGATTTAAGCAGTCTAATAAATGGACTACGACGCCTTCTTCCAGTTTGTCTCGAGAAGAAAACCGAGCACTTCTACAGGTAATTTGATTTTTTCGGGAGTGATTAATATGAATACCTCTTCAGTCGTCAATATTCCTAGTTTCCGTGTGACATCACCGTAATTTAAAATCGAAACTTGCCAGTTCTTCTAAGTTCATTATCTTCGGACATAAAATCCCCTAAAACTCTTTAAATTTTTTTTTTTGGATCAATCAAACGTCAATTAAGTGCGGCGGAAGAAGTAAAGGCGTTTCCTGTTATAGAGCTGCAACGTGGAAAAAAACAGCAAAAAGAAATAACTTTGAACAGTTAATTGCGGGATTTTCTCCGTGTTAAGGTGTGAAAATTTGGTAAACAGCTGAAACTATCAACAGCACAGATCGGCAGAGACTTTTTAAAAGAGTTTTGAGCTATTTATTAAGCAGACATAATCATTCACTAAACCCTTGTTAGTATCTACAGTTACAGAAAATATGTGAGGATATTTGTAAGACTTACGGACATTAGTGTCCGTTTAACATGGGGTCCTTTTACTGGCAGACTTCACCGTATTTTAAGCTGAAACCAACTTTTCTTTCACAATTCACCAGACTGAATAGTGGCTGTCTCATGTCCTTATCGGACCAGGTGAAAGGTGAAGTTAACAATGCAAAACGGACCCAAGAAGATCGACTCAAAACTCAAAAGGACGTTGAAGTGAAGCTGCAAAAACTCAAGGACGGCGCCTTCATAAGGGAGACTGACGAAGCACTGTCCAAGCACGTGAAGAATATTTCCGCGCAAGTCAAGTCCTATTTACAACAGGATGAAGTAAGAAGCGCGTTTTGCACGTGGGAAGAAAAGGATTTGCCGCAAATCGACGACAGTCAACGAGCGAATGTGGAAAGACTGAAAAATATTTACAAGCAATGTCTTGAGCAACGGTTCGAAAAAATTCTACAGACACTGGAAAAGAGGGAACAGCTATTTTCCAAAGCTCACGCTGACCTTGAGCAGAGATTTCGTCAAGGTTTCTTTGAATTTGAGAAAGACGTACGAGATATCGATCAGGTCCTTGTTGGCGAATCTACGGACGAAGTATTATTGCAATTTGAAGACCGTTCTCCCTTGGATGCAAGAGTTAAGAAATTCATTTTCCTGACAAGCGTCGTTTTCATGCCAGTTCTGTTCCCCATTGGTTTGGCTGCAGGTGTCTTATCCGCGCCGGTAATTGGATATTTGGCCGTCGACAGAATCCTGAACGAAAGTAAGCTGAGAAACGATCCCTGCCAAGTCCTAAAAGAACTATCCACGCTTTTCCTTCATAGAAACATTGATCAAGTAATTTCCGATCGAGTTTCGCAAGAATTTACAGAAGAGGGGGGACGCATATCTAGCATCAAGAGATGCTATAAGGAGCTGCTTGAGAAATATGAGAAGAAATGCCAGGATCTCACCAAAAGCGAAGATGAAGATACACGAGAAGGAACTGTCGAGAAACTTAGTCCTTTGTACGCAAAGCTTGAGGAAATAAGTCAAAACCTAACCTTTGATGCCATTCAGCATGGTATACGTGTGATGTCTCCTTCCTGCGAAATCGAAAAAAGGAGGCTTTCTTACGAGACAAAAATCGGAGGAGGCTCTTACGGTGAAGTTTACAAGGGAAAGATCAGCCTTGCTGGGCGTCAAAAAGAAGTAGCTGTCAAGAAGCTAAAAGTACCTCCTCAGGCGTCAAACGTTGCCCCCTTCCTCAGAGAAGCAGACATACTGATGTAAGCGAGTTTCGTCATAGAGTAGTTAATTCCCCTAGAATTATAGTCGATTCGCCTCAGTTGACGACTTTATTCGTGGCTGATTGTCTGGGAAAGGAAGTTTTGGCTGGCTTTGGAAAAAAAAAAGGGGCAAAGATGAAGGGCAATCGGGGCTGTCCTTCGTGTTCTCAAACGCGACATGCTACGCTCTCCTTCAACGTCGTTCCCATGGTGCAACTGAATCCCTGCCAACTGGCATTAAATATTGAACTAAGAGACAAAGTATAATTAACCTTTCTGAGAAAAAGGCAACGTTCTTTCCCTGTAAACGTCGTTGGTAAACCATGTAAAGATCTTCCAGTGTGACTAATGAGTTGTACTTAAATGTGCTCAGTGATAAGAGAGTGATCATTACTTGGTTGTTAGGCATGTCGGCGGCTAGGAAATATAATTTTAAAATGTACGTCATAAACTTTTATCTCAAAGTTAATGGAGATTAAAATATTTTTTGCAGGAAACTAAAACACGCCCATATAGTGGAGTTCTATGGAGTAGTTATGGATGTCCAGAACAACCAGCTGAGATTCTTGGCCCTCGTCTTTGAGTTGTGCATGACAAGTCTCAAGAATCACATCTTCACAAACGAGAAAAATATACCGTGGAGGACAAAGAGCACAGCCATTATCACATGCCGATGGGGCGTTGAGATTTTAGATGCCCTGGAATTCATTCACAGCAAGAAAATCGTTCATCGGGATCTCAAGCTTGAAAATGTTTTAGTAAGTCATTTCAATTATTACATGTTGCAAATTTCCCCCTGTAACCATTCAAACCGTGGACGCAAAGGATTGATCCTCCAGTGTGCAATGCTTTTTTGTGTACTACACTGGGCCCTTTGTTCTAGATCTGATTAGGCAGGTTGTCCATTACTGAATCTATATATGTTAAAAGATGTTGTTAAAGACGTTCTGTGTTGAATCAGCTCTATCTGTTTATTTGCTTATTTATTTAAGCTATACCCGTTCTGCTCCGTGACTTGCTTTTGACGTTTACGGTCAAGCCAGGTCGATTTTACTAAAGTGTTGTGTTCATCTGTGAACGAGCTCCAGCAAAAGTCAAATACTTCTCCAAGAGAAGAGTATATTCCACCAATTTTGACTGTTTTGTTAGAGATTCATCGCGTTTACATTTGACCTTCGTGGCCTTTTGTCCTTTTGTCTGTCATTCGTAAACAATAGCTAAAACAATGCAACTACTCCGTCGACCAATCGGCGTTTCTGACCGGATTCCGGACAGATTTTACGGCGTCAGTATGGAATTTCTGTCGCTGAGTCGCAGACGTTATTCCTCGCGAAACGTCCTTAACGGCGAAGGATGAGAAGAAACGGGTGTTTTCGAAGGCTATTAAAACGTAGGCTAGTCGTCCACACGACCGGATTAAACCTATTAATTACACTTTTTCAAATAGCCGCCTCTCGTCGTGCCCCGCCACGAAACATCCCCAGCGACTGTGAGTGAAGAGAGGCGGTTGTATTTGCAGGCTATTTGTCAAGCAGTACCGAAAAATTCAACCAAACTACTTCGACAAAATGTTAGCTTACGAGTTCTTATCACTGATAAATAAAAGAGTTTTAACCTTATTTGTTCACCCTTAGCACTTGTCGGGTACATATCACTTTACAGGACTGTAACAACAGGTACATACGCGTCGTATTTGAAAGGAAATAGCCAGGAGAATAGCTCTTTCTGATCAAACTGTAGTAACCTAAGTAAAATTCATTCGTTTCATTCTGCTGCTTAAGTTGCATAAAACTTATTTTGCCTCACTTGCACTTTACACTCATTCACAGATTGCCAAGAAGGAGCATATCAAAGTGGCAGACTTGGGGCTGGCCACCTTTAGAAACCAGATAACAGGAACATATTGTGGCACACCATGGTACATGGCTCCAGAGATACGCGAAAATAAAATCTACGATTCCAAGGTGGACATGTACAGCTTCGGATTGATGATGTGGGAAATGTGGTTTGGTGAAAGAGTTCGTTCTGAACCGATCTCCTTGAGTCAAGACAAGGTTACCCGACAAATCAACGAGAGGAAACAACGCGCCGAAGGACGCGGAGACACTCGCCACCCTCCTCCTACAAAATGGATCGAATTGATGGTGTCCCTTTGGAATGCTGAGCCATGCGTGAGGAAAACGGCCACAGAAAGTAAAGAATTGATGATGAAGTTAAACACTCCGTGAAGGAGGAATAGCGATTTTAAACTGATAAAAGCATCCTCGTTAATATTCTCTTTTTTTATGTTCACATTGCGAGTCGTGACGACCATTTTGTGTCAATTTTTGATGCAGTATAACTTAAGGTCAAACGCGTAACACTTACAACAGACGTAACGGATCGTTTTGATCGATTGCCCGGTAGAATTGGCCAGAAAAAATTGGTCTGATTTTTAAAAATGAAATTCTGCCGTCTATAAACCTCTACGAGCATTGGGGGTGTTGCGGGGGAGGGAATGTAGCAGAACGTTTGTAATGCGCTCCTTTCAAATGGAATTAAGAAATCCTCTCGACTATTTCAGCCATGGTAAACTATAATTTAGCTTGTATGAAGTTTTGATTTGTGATTGTTAGAGTTAAAAACCTTTCATAAAGGGTAAAAATATTCTCATTCAATTAGCCTTGTTTTTGTCACATTTTTACGTACTATTTGAATTTTAGTTCAGTTAACGGGACTGTTTTCTAAAAGCCAATAAAAAACAAGATTCCACTTTGTTCATTATGCTAACAATATTCGAGCATTTTAGAGGGAGATTCACGGAAAAACATTTTTGCTGAGAAAAAAAACCGTTTCCCCACAATACAGCTGTGTAAAAGAAACTTTTTTGTTGTGCTATTAAAAATTATAATAAAGTTGAGATATAACGCGCACTCTGATTGGTTGAAAGAGCATGGTTTATGAGAGTATAAGTCACGGACCTAAGGCTGTAACGCCATCTGTGAATACCACCATGCTGTGGTTTTCAAGACCAAAGTTTCGCGTTTCAGGGTTAAAAGACACAAATGGAAAGGGAAAGTTCAAAAGAATGTTCAGTTTTCTTTTTGTGGATGAGGAAAGCTTTTGGTTACGAAATCGTCTTTTGACGAATTCAACAATGTTTTCTTCATGGCGGAGCACAAAATGTCCTGTTTTGAAATTCATTCACGGCAACAAAGTTTTGGAAGACTAATTTAAGCATTAAAGAGTGGGGAAAAAACACTCGACTAAGTCTCGTATTTCCTCCTACACTTCTTCCTAACCTGCGTAGCAGGCGTCGAAAGGGGTAAGGGGATATGAGGACGAAAGGGAAATAGGAAGGGGGATTGGGGAGAGAGGGCAAGGGACGCCTGCTATAAAAACCCCCCTTTGTTCATTTCTGCGAACGCTGGCGTCCGTAAATTCCAATCTTGTTCCCAGGGTTCTCTCCTACTCGCCTCTACAGAGCGAAAGAGGGAGAGAGAGAGAGAGAGAGACGGGTAGGAGAGAGAACCTGGGAACGAGGTTGCGTAAATTCCTGATTGACTGAGCCGTAATGAGTAACTTATTGGCGTGTATCCTGGCGTGTATTAGTGTGTAAATCTGCTTTTCACTCAATTAGATCAATTTCAATTAGAAATTAAGTTTCTCAGTATGGAAAACGCTAAGACTTCAGTGCACGCTTTTGTGACTTCTAAGTTAGATAATTATAAGGCACTCTCGTCTGGCCTGCTTAAGTATAAGATCCAGCGCCTGCAATACGTGATGACCTCTGCCGCTAGGCTAGTTACATTGTCTAGGAAGCATGATCACATATCGCCAGTACTAATGGAGCTTCATTGGTTGCCAGTTGAGCAGCGCGTAGAATTTATGATCTTGTTATTTACATGTAAAGTGGTAAATGGTATTATATCTCCAGGATCTATTGGACCTTTATAGACCCTGCCGTAGCCTTAGATGAGGAAACATGCAGCTTCTGAAGACACAATCTTATAATTTAAAATCGTACGGGTTCAGGGAATTTTCTATATGTGCCCCCAGCTTTGGAATGCCCTTCCTCGGGAGCTAAGAGAGTGCGATTCTATAGTAGTTTTAAGAAAGCCCTGAAGACGTTTCTTTTCATAAAGGCTTATCGTTGAGTAAAACTAAGACAAACCTTTTTATGAACGTATGTTAGAGACTGGTCCCAAGCTTTTGAGATTTTAATTAAGTCATTTTTTTCTAAGGCAATTTTCAATTTTTTATTAATGTGAAGCGCTTGTTGCCTACGTGCAGTCGTCTGCTATTTCTTTTGTTGCACTTTTCCGAGTGCAACAAAGGAAATAGACGACGTCTACACGCAGGCAAAAGCGCTTGTGGACTCTTAAGGAATAAGTTCTATATAAATAAATTGTTATTGTTATTGACAAACATGATGCAGACATTAAGGAAATGTGTTTTGCTGGTATAAGCTTTGGAAGATCAAAATTACTCCAATCACGTAGAAACCTTACGTTAAAACCCGAATACAACTGTGATAGCTTGTTTCTGTTGTTTAGCAGGCAGAGATGTTCAGGAAAGTTTGGATACTAGATTTGTCCAAACATCAAGCGGCGATTTAAGGCAATTGCGATTCTTGCCAGACATCTGCAATGCTGACATTCACAAGCCCGCCTTTTGCGCAAATACATATACCGTCGCATGGTTTTTCAAAGAACTCGTAAAAAACTATCGGTTAAGCTTTTTGACAATTGTTTATAATTCCCCTTTCATTATTCGCGTCTCATGCTAGCAACTGTTCTGTTCTTTGTGACCATGGTGTTTGATGAGGTAAGACCAAAGGTCATGTGTATTCACACGACACTGATCATTGTTTGTCGTAGACTGCGAGCAGTAAAAAAAAGAGAAACTCCACGTAGTCTAGATTTGTTGCGTTTGCTGCAAGAACAAAAATGTTTTATTTCGCTCGATTATGATATCACATAAAAAAGGCGTCTCGACTTGACAATTTCCGGTTTATCAAAGTAATTAAGCTCGGACCAAGCTGAGAAGCCCTCTACTTGTGATAGGTCTCGTTTGACAGTTGACGTTATCGGATTAGTTGAGAAAATGGTAGGCGGAAAACGAAAACACCGGTTCTTATAGCAGGCGCTCCCTTCCCTTTTAATACCCCGATTTCGAACTTTTCTCCCTCCCCCTCCCCCTGCCCTTTTTGCACCTGCCGCGCACGCTACTTCTTTCGTGCTCTAGCCGCTTCCTGCGCGCTTTACATCAGAACAAAGCACAGTCAACGCTTCTTTATTAGTAAACTACTATACTTTGTTGTTATACCTCTTATACATTTCTGTCAGCCCTCTTAAAACGTTGACAATCAATACAAAAAAGCCTCTCCACGAGGAGCATTATCCGCTCATTGTAATGACTTGTACTTTTTGGGGGTGACTGAGCATTTTAGTGGGAAAAATGGAACAATAAGATGGATCATTTTAGTGAGGAAACAAAAGCGTTATATGCAAAACCCGTAAACATGGGTTTCTGTAGGATATATTGTTTGGCCAAATTTTGCCACAATTAGGTACCCGTGTATTGAGATAGTCAAACGCTGCTAAAATGCGGCCGAATGGTACAGTTGTACTTTTGCCACTGGCTTCGGATTTTCTCCCATTCGGCTCTGATTCCAGCAATCCTGAGCTTGGCTCGGTCGGCTGGTTTTCTCGTGCCGGATTAACACTGACTCTGTAGCGCCCTCGACTTGAGTACGATAAAAAAGGGCATCCGATAATTTTTCTTTTTAGAGGGGACGCATGTCCAACAAGTTCACTCAGCGTTTGGGATAAATCAAGAGAGAGAAAACAGTACAGTACAACCCAAAAAACGGCCATAAATCGGCCCATGGAGCACACAGGAGAGATGTAACACACATTTTATGTAAGGTAAGCTGTTTCTTATTGAAATCCTATTATTTTCGTAGGTTACGGAAATGATAGTTTTTTTCAAGAGAGGATAAAGAGGGCAGGGAAGGCATCCTCCATACACAGCCTATTCGATAGGTAATTCGTCTCGAGTTATTTTTAAGACCACAGATCCCGAGGGGGATTAGAGAACAGCCAATCACGTAGCGCGAATGTGTTCCGCGTGGATGACCCACGCTCAGAGCCACGCGTCCTTCACGAATTGACGCAAAAAAAATAGCAGCAGACGTGGAGAGCGATATTGCTATTCGTTTTGTCGACGAAAATGACTAAAGAGAGATTTCTGCTAAAGCTGTGCCACCCAAGCGGAAATTAAAAAAGAATCGCCCTTCCTCTCTTGTATAGAGCTAACAGTACAGCAGGGAAATCCTTAACACACTGAATATTCTCTCAGGATCATTTATAATTTACAGTTTGAAGAGAGCAGTTTCTGGTTTGATATTTATTCTTTTAATAGTCTTTTATTATTCAACAAAAATAACACTTTGCGTCCTACTTGCTTTATTGTACAAGCGACCGGTTTCAATAGACCGGCGAAATTTCTCATTTTATTAAAGCACTGAGGTTACGACAACTTCGAGTTAAACTGATTTCACGGGTTGTCAAAGAGTCCAGCGATTCCCTTTTCCCAGGTGAGCGGCGACTCATTTCACTTCAATATTCAGAAATGCTCTCGATCTCTTCACGTTTTCTTTGCCTTTCGCCCGACATGTTTTGCACGGCGTTTAGTCATGCGAATCATCCACGTAACGAGCGAGGTAACTTTATCCCAATTCTAAAAATAACTCGAGGCGAATTACCTATGGAATAGGGTGTGTATGGGGTATGCCTTCTCTGTCAACTTTATCCTCTCTTGGTATTTTCCCATACAAATCCTTATATTTCAAATGTCATGCGACAATGCCGATGATCGCCGATGCCCATATTTCGAGCTTGGGCTACCTGTGATCTACCCGTCTGGTCCTCATGTCCAACCGCAGGTAGGATTCCGTTGGGAAGAGGTAAATTGATAGGAGGATATTAGGGAGCTTCCCGGTTGGTACTCTCTATGATAGCCTATACGGGAAGGCTCCACCTGAAAGGGGTACTTTTTTAAGGCTTCAGGAATATGAAAGGGTAGGGATTTCACTGGTTGAAGTATATAAAAGGGTAGGGAAATCTGTCATTTGGGTCTGTGAAAGGGCCCAAAAGGGCTAACAGATGAATTTTACGGCTTTATAAAGTCGAGAAAACGTTCTATTTTTGTGATTGATTCCTATTTTAAAGACAGTGCATTAACAGCAGTTAAAGGAATGCAAAGCTCTAACAAAAGTATGTGAAAGGTGTACCATTTTTCAATAGAAGGTATACAAAAGGGGTACCTTTTTCGTGAAAAATGGTATATAAAAGGGTGACGGGTTGGACCTCGGGCCGAGCCTCCTGGTATAAACATTTGTTGAGTACCTCTCCCCCCGGGGGAGCTTAAGCAACATCGATGGCGACGGCTACGAAAACGTCACTTAAAAAGTGAAGTCGCGCTGCTTCAAACTTTAGATCGCTTATTCCACCTCGTTCAATTCGTCAAATGTTGGCAATTTTTACAAAAGTTGAATTCTAACAGAATTCAGAGAAAGAAAAAGCAACTCGTTGCCTTGTGTTCACGACCTCCACAAAACGAGATATGAGGCATTTTCAAATTGTAGTCGATCAGTGACGGTAAAGAAATGTATAAAAAGATGTGATGCTTATGCAGAGACGTTGTTTGCTAATCTAAAACCTATAGTATAGGCCAATTCCGAGTTCCCCCGGGGTCTCTGTATCAAAAGGAGGTTAAGGGCTCAGCCTTTGATATGGAAATGATTTTTCATTCTCATCCAAATAAAACTCATTTTCACAAGAAAGCTTGTGGAGTTGGCCTCATTTTGAAAGTGAGGGTTTTTTGGAACTCGGAAGTGGCCTATTGCTTTTTTGCCGATCTCGTTGACGTCGCCGTCGTCGTTGCTTAAGCTCCCTATTATCCCAATACCGACTGTTATTTGCAGCCCTGCTAATATGTTTTTCCTTCATTTTTGACCACTTCAGTTTTACAATTGACTAAATGCAGTAACTACGGTCAGTGCATTTGGCTTCAAGTTCAAAGAATTTGCTTGGTGTTTACCAAGGTTCAGCCTGAAGGTTCTTTTACCTGAAGTTTATTTAAATATCTTTACTGCTACTGAGGGGTTTCAAGTGATCCTCCCAGTCACAGAGGACTCACAGAGCAAATCGAGGACAATATTCAGCCTGTCCCCAAATCATTGACTCGGGAACTTGGAACTCAGCAAAAGCCGGCTTCGAAAGTTCTGAACAAAACAGAAAAAAAAGAAAAATGTGGATGACTCTGTCTCTACGTATTGTGTCTTGTGGCTCGCTATTTCGGACCTTGTGCCGATAGATGCTGGGAGGTAGGAGGGTGGTTTTAGTCCTGTTTTCAGTGAAAACCTCTCTCCCTCAACAACAAAAACAACAACAACAGTGCTAAATATATTAATTACGGGCAACAAGAGGAGCCCACAATCCTAATCTCCAGGCTGTTAATACAAATGCTTCGCCTGTATGTAGCCAGCATTCACTTGGACTTCCACTCACAATGAATGGAATGCAAGGAAGGCAATCTGATCACGCGAGTTTGAACCTTCTATCACTAAAATCTGATCAAGCGCGTTTTGACTATCTGTCACCAGTGAAACTTACGCAAACCACAGCAATGGAGCAAAAGCGTTTTGACATTCGATCGTTGTCGCTGCACTGCGTAACGTCTGGTTATTATTAGTAATAACAATATTTTAAAAATGATTAACGCTCAAGTTCCAAAAAGTGTCGTAAGAGGAAAGTAGTAAGAAAATAATGGTCTTTGTCTTCTTGTTGTTATTTTATTTAAGGTCGTTAGTTTTAACATTATTATTACTCGGTTTAGAAAGATATTTTTTCATTAATCAGTAACCCTTTCTTTCAGAAAACTGCAACATTTTCCATTTTCCCAAAGGGGTTAACACCATGAATTTCGTCACAACGCTCTTTAACCCCCTCTAAGCACTTGTAACGCCTTCTAACCCCCTATAAGCCCTTGTAATCCCTGTAACACCTTGTAAACTCTTTTGTAAGCCCCTGTAACCCCTTGTAGCCCCCTGCAATCTATTGTAACCCCATGTAACCCACGGTAAGCCGTTGTAACCCCTTGTAACCCCTGTAACCTCTTGTAACCCCTCTTAAGTCCCTCTAACCACTTGTAAGCCCCTGTAACCCCTTGTAACTCTTTGTAACCCCGTGTACCTGTTGTTACCCTGTAAGCTCTTGTTACCCCTTGTAAGCCCCTGTAACCCCTTGTAACCCCTTGTAATCCCCTGTAACTCCTTCTAATCACCCGAAATCCCTTGTAACCTCTTGTAACCGCCTGTAACTCCTTCTAATCACCCGAAATCCCTTGTAACCTCTTGCAACCGCCTGTAACTCCTCGCAGCCCCTTTTAAGCCCCTGTAACCACTTGAAACCCCCTGTAACGCCTTTTAACTCCCTGTAATCCCCTGTGAGCCCTTGTAACTCCTTGTAACCCCCTGCAACCTTTTGTAACCCCTTGTAAGCCCCTGTAACAACTTTTAACCCCTTGTAAGCCTCGGTAAACCCTTGTAACCCCCCTTAAGCCCTTGTAACCCTCTGTAACCTTTGGTAACCGCTTGAAAGCCCCTTGTAACCACTAGTAACCTCTTGCAAACCCTGTAACGCATTGTAAGCCTCTGTGGTAACCCCATGTAACCCCCTGTAACCCCTTGTAACCCCTTGTAAGTCCCTGTAACCCCTTGTAACCCTATCTAACTCCTTGTAACCCCTTGTAAACCCTCTAAGCCCTTCTAATCCCTTCTAACCTTCTGTAACCTTTTGAAACCCCTTGTTACCCCCTGTAAAACCTTGTAACCCCTTGTAAGCCCCTGTAAGCCCTTGTAACTAGGCCTAGATACAAATATCGCAAAAAATGTTCTAAATTTCTTTCTAGAAATTCTCATAAAATTCCTAAATTTCTTTTGAATTTAGTCTAAATTTCTTAAAAAATCTTCTAAATTTCTCAGAAATATCATTTTTTTCTAATGTTAATTTGACCCATTTTTGGCTTTATATCAATGAAAGAAATGAAAAAAATATGTACATTATTATTTGAATAGCAAAAGATGTATATTGCAGGGCTGGTTTATTTTAAGGTATAATAAGTAAATAAAAACACGTTATACGTTTTGTATTTGAGAAGTTTTTCATTTGATCGATGCTGAAGGTATTGCTTATATAGCTTATTTTTCTTATTGATTGACCTAAGTAAGCTCTTTGTAAGCCAAGGTTTCCTGAAGGAGTTTGGAGCTTTACCTTTGATAGTTTTAAAAGGGA